AAAGAGTATTGCTTTTTTAAAGGAGGAAACAAATAGTGGGCTATAGAAAAGAGCGTGAGAGCTTCTAGGAAACCTGGAGTGAGACAGAACGGTCTAGAGAGCTGCATCCAGTGCAACAGGGTGGGTTTGGGGCAGACAGCCACTAATGCAATAAAGATGTTTTATAAAAATTCCACGCTTAAAAAGGCTCTTTTACCAAATTGACAGTCAAGCTGAATCCCTCAGGAGGGGTGACCTAAAACCCCGGTCATACCTACCTACCTACCAAGCCTACCAGATGGCCAAGACTGTAATTAGGAGGCTACAAGGCTAAGCTGCTGAGTCCCTAGCTCAAAATTAAAACCTTTTCTCAAATTCCAGAGGCATATGTGGGCTCAGGCTGGAGCTGAATAGTGAGTGGGGAATGATTATACATTTGGCTTTCACTAACATGATTCAATACTGAAGTCTTTTAAATCTGTCCTCTGTTTACCAGCTCCATGGGCAGCAGATTAATACTGGAGTTGTTGTGTACAATAATTAGTTTTCAAAGATATTTAATTTTGTATGTCATATTTTATGCTTTATGATATTGTGATGCAGAAGACAGTATGTTCACAGTATTATGAAAGGAACCCTGATGAGCTGAGCATTTCCTGTTGGAGATAATTGAATTTCTTGGAGGTGTTTGTTTTTTCTTATGATTTGATTCTTTAGAAGCCAATTGAGATTGGGAAGCTGGCCTGTTTGGAATAACACTACCAATGTTGGTATACACAGCAGGGAAAAAATTCTTCATTTGCTTTTCTATTTGTAAATATTCATCTATATAAAATAATAATTAAAATCATATGTTTATAGTTTACTAGGATTTAAATGATTTAGGTATTATATTTAGCATTCCAGTGTTCGTACAATAATGTCTTTAATTGTCTCTTTAATAAATAAATGTCTTTTAATGTCTCTTTAACAGGAGCTATGGGATACTGGGTTAACTCATCAAAACTGTTAGTCTCATGGCCCATTTTTCCCCACAGTGATTATTTGACTCAGTGTAACAATACAGCCTGGCATATGGCTATACCAAGCCCATTCTCCACAAACAGTGGCCCAGTTAAGGTCAGTATTTCACAGGGATTTGGCTGGTGTTCTGGAGAATTTGATTTTTTGGAAGAGTACAGCCCAGAAACGAAGAACATTAGCTGGGAGAAGATGTCGGGAATGAAAGATAGGAGGACCAGTATAGGAAGCAAAGTGACCTAAAATACTTTTAGATGAGTTATAACGTATTTGTTTAATGGATGAAGAAGAACTTTTCACATTTGCTAAAAATTTATATGTACACACACAGACAGACACACACATATATATAATAATAAAGATTCACAGGACTATTAGGGTCAAGCTGAGGAGGACCAGGATGCTGCCACTGTGGAAATTAGGTGACAGAGCTAGAGAAACCCACATTTCTTTAACCCAACTCACTGTTAAATGAATATGAAATACTGTAGCTCAGCTTTGGGTCTTCCCAGGGCTGGAGATATGCACATGACTGTCTGCATATGTGGACACATGTGAAATCATAGCTGTTATTAAAATAAGAGGTTTTGGCAGGGTACCTTAAGTTTTAAATAGAATCTATTAGACATCGATTTCCAGGAGCAGTCTCAAGAGAGGAAAAAGTAAACCCTGTCTTGGCCAAGGAATAACAACTGCTGCAACGAAAGCATCCTCTGTTGAGCTATACAATTAAGATCTGGGCATTTTAAAGAGTTCTTAAATATTTTCTTTTTTTTCATTACCAGTTAGCTAGCATAGGTAAAGATAATGATGGAAAAGAGTTTGATTTCTCCATCTTTACTTTTTTATATTTAATCAGTTAACAAGCTTCTTGATTCCTCTGTTCTTTTTATTGTTTATTGAACAGGATGTAAGTATAAGAGCTATTACACAGTTTTTCTTCTAGCTAGGTAAAATCTTTGGAAACCTGGATACATGGCAGACAGCAATAACTGCTCATGCACTGGCAAAGGTCCCAAGCAGCAAACAAAACCTTATGAGTTGTTTTATTAAATCATTTCAACAGTGCCCAAGAAATTTGGATCCTACTGAAACCAATGGAAATTTTGCTATTAGTTTCAGGGCAGCCTTGATTTTACTTTTTGTTCTCAAGTATCATGAACATGTGTATGATATACTGTCAACTGAGGATTATCTGTTGCCAAATGATCCCAGCAATGAATTAACAATCTAACCCAAACTACCTTCAGAGCCATTAGACATACCCTATGATGCACTTTTCCTTACCCTTCCAAAACTATTCTGTATCTCACATTCTCCTTACAAAAGATAAATGTTCCAAGGACAGCATATTCTAAGCTTTAATTAACATATGCTTTGTATTATCTCTGTTGTGTGTTGTGCTTTACCCAAATGGTCTTATACATATTTTCACAGGTGATCATGACCTGAATATAGCATGTGCATGTGCCTGACTTCATGTGAACACATTCAATGCACACTCTTGATTCCCTTCTTACATTGTTGTTCCTGGATCCAACCCTTCCCCATTTTGAAGCTTTTTAATTTTCTCCAGAATGCCAAACCAGGCTCCCACTCCTATTGGCAGCTTGTGATAGGATAAGTAAGAAAAAAGAACAAGTCAGATACGACTGTGGCAAATTTAAGCCTCATCAGCTAAGGGACTTCTCAGAGTTTTAGTGTACATCCTTTTCTGGCTGCTGGTACTACAATGTGTGGGCATTTGGGTGCTTGCAAGAAATAAAGTCCAAGTACTTTTGTTTGGGTTTTGCAGTTTTTATTGATACTTCATTTTTCAAATTACAGTTTTTTTGACTTAAAATAATAGATGTAGGGCTTGTTTTGTGCCATATTCAACAATTTTCTTGAAAACTACTTTCTTGAAAGGTCTACTTTGCTTATTGAGAAAGTTAACTAAAGGAAGCAACTTGTTCATCTGGTGTGACACAGTTGTATGGATGTACAATTGTGTGACAAACCCATCCAATAGCACTGTGGTTTTCTATCATCTGCTGTAAGCCACCTTGTCTCCCAGTGGCTGTCTCTCCCGGGACGTAAGTCCTTCACTGGGAGCTTCACTAGAGCTGCTTTCTGCAGATAGCTCTCCATTACTTGCACTTCCTGAAAAGACAATATAATTAAGATTAAAATAAATGTCATATCTTTGATGCAGCAAGCTAGAAGGTACACAGTTTGTCAATGACACTTAAGAGCCTTTTTATGCAGCTATAAATGTTCAGGAAGCTATTTTTCTCAGTTTGCAGTCCATTTGCAAAATGCTTTAGGGTAATGACAGATCAACTAATGGTAATTAATTATCATGCTTCCAGCATGCTTCAAGAAACTGCGACTGGAATGCATAATGGTTTGCACTCCACCTGTGCAAGACTTGTTCTCTTTTTTGTATTATCTCCTGATACTTACCTACCAGGCAGGAATGTCTTTTGTCTGTCTGGAATACATAAAGCCCCAAGCACCCAGCTCTGATAGATCTCTTCTTCCGTATTCTTTACCTTTTGTGATTTTAGTCTTCCACCCTGTTTCAGATGTGCAGTTGTCTCAACAAGACCAAAAGTGTACTGATGGTGTTTATTTAATGTATCGTACCCAGAGTGCTCTCGTTGCTGCACAGATGTCCCTCATACTAAAGGAATCTGTTTCTAGTGGAGATTTCCAAAAAGAAGGTGTGAATAGAATGGGTAAAAGATGAATGCTAACCACAACATTCCTGATTCGGTCTTGATTCAAGTCTGACTATGAACACTGTTGCTTTATTTGGACTTTTTTGTGGCTACACATGGTGTCTCAGCTAATGGAGAAGGCTTCAGCTTTGCTAGCCGTTGAATCTTCTACAGCTGGGGTCCAGTCTGGCTAAATTGAACATGTAAAGTATGCCTAAATGTCTAAATTTAGGCACATGAGTTAGGCAGACAAGATTTCACTTTGGAGACACTAAAGGTATCTCCTTCTCCCCATTTGCAACACTGCTTACAGAGGCACTTATTTTAGGAGGACTGGTTCTGTTTAGATACCAGTTAGATGAGTAAGAGGTGTAGACTGGATCCAAGTCTACCTATTTGGGATGCAGTGAGAGGCCCCTTATAAAGGGACTCACTGTTATGCAGCACAGTCCACCACACTATGCAAGGGGAATTTAAGCATTCAGACATACTGTCTGAATATGCATAAACATTCTGGAGCTCCTGTTTTTAACTGAATTTCAAGTTGTTAACACATTCCCTGGAAAAAGCCATCCACAGCTTTTTTCCACAATGGCCACTCTTCTTGTTTCTCGTTTTGATGTTTCCCATGGAAACCATCATGATTCAGAATATAAAGCATGTTTTTGAAATGCAACCATGGGAACTCCATTTACTAAATCCAAACCTTTTCAAGCACCATCACTCTCATAACTCCCCAGGTAAACTGCCCCCCCAAATGCCAACTTTACAAACTGGTTTCAAACAAAACTTCAACAGATTTATAGATCATCTGCAATGAAACAGATTCAAACTTTCCTCCATAATTTGTAAAGGCACTGCCAGCAAATACCATGAAGAATCATTGCATTTATGAAATTACTTTTGTTAAATTATCTTCAATTATGACAATACATATTTCAATTATATGTTAGGAATAAATGATACATTCTGTCATTAAATATTGCAGTCTGATCACAAAATGAAACACCTACTTCAACTTGGACAATATATTAGCTAAATGGAAAGAAAATTACAGGTAACAGTTAAGCTGGATATATACATAACAGCTTCTAGATCCAGCAGTGAATAACCTAAAAGACATTTAACTTCAGCTGTACAAGAGATTCTAAATATGAGAGGCTTTCTTCCAGAAACTGCAATTTATGAGTTTAGGAGTAACTCAGTTCTCTGTTGGACTGAGACCTAGCATCTAAGATATTGAGCTTTGAGCCTTTAGTTATCCCTAATTTGACATTTCTAAGTCAAGCCGTTTCACATGGCAGTAAACAACGGATCAAGAACAAATTTTGAAAAGCCAGTGGCAGTTAAATTTTATGATCACTGGTTTGTCCAGTTCTTCTCCATTTTACTGAAATATGTTGGGGTTTTTTTGCTTATATATCACAGATGATATATGAAGCTGGAAAGATATTGATTTGAAGGAAGAGGTGAGATGGACAAAACAGGATTCATTACAGTTGTCTGAGACTGCATCAGAATAGACTCTCTACAGCTTTGCACTTGGACGTGAGAACTGGATTGTTTCATTAGCAATGCCTCTTGCTGCCACACTTGTAAACTCCATCTACTTGGCATGAGGCCACAAACTGCAACCCACAACTGAGACTCAGCAGTCAGAATGAACAGTGTATCATACAATCCAAAAACACTATCATGAAGATTTATAATTATTGAAAGGCAGGAAACTGCTCTTTTTTCCACTAAGTATGTGTTAGATTGGATCTCACAGTAGCTGACTGACAAACAGTTCCCCCTCAGGATGGAGTGCAAGGTACATCATCCAAAAATGGTTTGCAGCATTGCTCTTTCAAATTTAGCATCCAACATCATGCAGGATCCCATATGACAGCCTGGCAGCACTCCAGGAACAAAGTCTGGAGCAGGTTAGGTAACAACAGAGATGCAGTGCTTCAGGTCTGAAGGGATGTACAGCAAGCTACCTCTGGTGCAAGGAGGCACACCAACCAAGCAGCAACATGATGCTTAGGGACTTAAAAAAAAAGGAAGATTTCCATTCTCTTGACTGAACACATTCTATAGTCTCACTTACCCACTCCTGCAAAATGTGATTTTGGGGAGCAATGCAAGTGATGAACTTGTACTGATGGACTGACACTGCTTTGGCATGAATTTTGGCACAACCTCCTCTCAAAAAGAAAATGAAAGTGTTCAGCATCAGTATCTGAAGTTCATACAGTCCTTCTAGCTGAACTGATGAACATTATGAATCTTTTTTCTCAAGGAGGTGGGCTCAGTTTGTTTTCAAGACACCCACAGCAGAAGTCTCTGTCAGTTACCATCCCATGCTGAGGTCTGGACCAGAAATGGGTTTGATGTGATGCCTATTTAAGTAGAAGTCATATCAGAACTTTCAGTATTCTAAGGTGAGATAGGATTAAAGATGACTACTGAAGCAAGGTGACAAGCCAACGTTGCTATGAGATGGAATTTAGTAGAAGTGAACTGTGTAGCTGCATTACCATGGTGCCGAGGCCAAGTAAATACTGGCTTGAAGAGCAGGCAGGATGTACTCACTTCTGCTTGCAGAACAACATGTTGACATGTACTTTTTAAATCTTCTCCTTGACAATCTATACTCCATAAATCTCACACTGTGTGGCTTGTTTTCAAAAACCTGACTCATCTTTGTGAACTCTTTCAGTGTGTTTTTCTTGCTCTCTCTCAATTTTTATGTTTAACATTCAAGTAGTTTGTTTTGGCCACTGACGAGAGCAGGATATTGAGCTAGACAGACCATTGGACTGACCCATACACGAATGTTGTTGTGTTCTTACGCCAGTTTAGATGGTTTTAAACCTTTTCCATCTCAAAACCAATCTGCCCTGGTAGATATTTTCACACCTTTTTTCAGGATTTTCTGTAAATGTTGGGAGTAGCCTCTGTCCGTGGTGCTCGGTCAACAGACGTTCTACCAGAGCTGTGACTTCAACTCAGTCTGGCATTACCCAGCCATAATGCTGCGAGATTAAGTCCCAAAAGATCTAGATGCTATACCCTGGACTGATTAAACATCAGAATCAAGCTTTGCAAATTAGGAATATCTCAACCAGCAGAAAGCCATCAGAGGGATCAAAATATTCTCTCTGAACTTTAAAGACACCAAGAAACTGATACCAAGAAACTGATGAAAAGGCCTACAGCAAAATATTGAGTCCACTTTTGAAGAAAGACCATGAGTAATGTTTTAGGCTAACTCTTGAACAAAAACATTGATGCTTTGTGTTTGTATCAGAACTTGATGGTTCTGAGACATTATAATTTGGTGTTAATCAAACATCAGCCTCAGTCCAATTGAGGTGGTCTGTCAGGCATAGATAGCCTAGGTAGCTCAATGTCTTGGAGAGTACATTTTGTTCACAGAAATGCAACTGCCCTCCAAAGCAGAAAGGGCCTGGACTGTGTTCACTGTGAAGATGAGTCTTTAGGATATAAAAAACACTTGTAAGCTTGCAGGCCTCCAAGAACAATTCAAAACATCTCAGCCTGCCAAAAAGGGATGGTTTTGTCTGCTTTTTTTAAGGCTTTCCAAATTTATTTACAACATACACAGACACGAAGGGGAGTTTATTTACCAGAATAAATTGAGTATTTAGGGCAGAGCAGCAGATCGAAATCTCAGTAGACTTCTTCTTACTGTTCTAAGCAGTAAAAAAATTGAAGGAATCTCACAACTGCATGGAAATTTATGGAGACAAAGGAAAAGTACAAGGGACATAACCATCACAGCTATAAAAAACACCAAAGAAACTATCTAGTGTGAAGTCAAAGCATGCAGGATCCATATTGAGATATATCTAAAGGCCTCAATTGAAACTTTACAGTGAAGTTACTGTGCTCCTCCTAAGTAATATGAATCTCAACATTCTCATGTTAGGTACTTCCAGTACGTAAAAGAGGCCACTTCCAGTTTAGTCAAAGTCTATATTATGACTGCAAATAGAGAGCAAACTATTAGAAGATATCATCTTCATATCTTCATATCTTCATCATATCTTCTATATTCACTGCAGGAAGATTTCTCTTGCTCTAACTCCAGGACAATGAAACTTTATTACACATTATCTTCTCTAAAATAAATTTGTTTAGTGTTGCATCAGGAGAGTCTCAATCATATACCCTGGACAGTGCAAGATGTTTCATCTATGAAAAGTATTTTTCCATACTGACAAAACTATAATATTAACAGGACTAGAGGCAGAAGGAAACATTAAGCAGAGAATTTAGGTTTTATTTAATGACAGAAAAGATTCTGCTCACCTGTGGATGCTTTCAGTCTTCTGATATAATCAGACCAAAAGGAACAGTCTGCTTTTTTTAATCCTTTAAGAGTTGGCAAGGAAACAGTGAACTCCTTGTAGTTATCACCATCATCGTTTGGCAGATACATAGGCCAGGGGGGCATCACCCCTGACATTCTTCTTGAGAAACTATGAGGGTAGTTTGGATTTCTAAGGGAATGGGAGAAACGATCATTAGAAAACAATGACATGAACAGTAAAATGCAGAAGGAGATCGGCTGGGTCAGGGAAATGTGTATCCAGTCTCTCTGACTAGTAGGGTTCAAATTCAGTCCAGACTCGTGAATCATTCACGGTGTCTCACCTGACAGTAACTTGTTAGTCTGGTTCACTTCCTAGGGCACAGGTACACAGAACCTGTACAGACACAGGCTCATGAACACCCTCAACAGGCCTCGGTCCCAAAGCAACCCAAGGTACTCTAAAAAGCACATAAAGTCACAGTTCCCACACTAGCTTTCCAGACATACTCCTCATTCTCGAGCATGGCCACAGCACAGTAAAGCTGAGGGTTGTTCGCAGGGTAGTTGGTAAAGGATGCACTGTGTCTTCATGTGCTTTCCCCTTTCTTCTGGGAATAAGGGAACTCTTAGCCAAGACCCTTCAGAACTGGGGTCCTGGAAGCTCTGGAAACAACACCAAGGCCTTTATAGCCCCCGTATATGTAAGTAGAATTTGCAGCTTCTCCACGGAGATAAAATTCCTATTACTTCTAGCTAAGCATCATACTACAAATCTCTGGTATCTGCTTGACAACTTGGCCATGACTTTCCAACAGTGTTGACCAAAGCCACCTCTGTAGGATTACAAATTGCTAGAGGAAATGGAGGCTGTTTGAGTGAGTGCAGTATATGGACTACATTCCCTCTACTCCTCCCCACCTCCCCAATCATAATAATTCTTAAATGTCACATGCTTACCCAGAGTTTACAAAATTGGAGATATACTGCATAATTTGCAAGGAAAGGCTCTTTTCTTCCAGAGTAAATTGTTCTTCATACTTCGGGTAGAATGGCAGTCCAAATGCATACTGAACATCCAGCAAGAACTCCTGACCTGAACTAAAAAAATATTTATATAAAGGTAATTAAAACCATCATTGATTTACTGGGGGGAGAAAGGGAGCTAATTTAATTCAGAGAATGAAGCAAAGCTTTAAATAATTAATGACCATTAATTAGAGTGTGGTGAGCTGTGGGGCTTTTTCAATTCAGAACATAAAAGAAGAGCAAGCAATATAACAAGGCGAATTTGCCATTAAGTTAATGTAGGGTCTTTAACATTTGTTACAAGAGCAAATTGTGGAAGGCAGCAGGGCATATTTCTCTAAATAAGAGAAAGTGATAGAGGGAGAAAGCCACTTGGCTATTCTTTAAATGCCTCTTAAGTTTTGAACAGATTTTCACTAAAATTAAATTCAGAAAGTGGAAGCAAGTGGTAATATGGAATCTGGCAACCGTGATGGAAGGTTAATTATGGTTTATTTCACAGATCTGGAATAAAATCCTGGCCCTTCTTAACAGTTGGAGTTTTTCCATTGACTTCATTGGGGCCAGCATTCTGCCCTAAATTTTTGGATAAGGAAAGATGTAATAGGAGATGTTTATGAAGATTTCTCTTAGACATAGTTTTAATCTAATTTCTCTGCTGGCTGGGTGGTTTTGGTTCATACAGTCTGTTCTCCCCAAGTTTTATATGGCAGTCAAGTCAAAACAGCTTGAGATAATCACCTAGATCAGATTTAAGAAAGAATAATTGTTGTTTACTTCCATGTAATAATTAACACATATAATAAGGAATATTTCAACAATTCAGAGACAACAATTGCAGGACCTAGTAACAAAGGTTACACAATTCAACATATTCAAGTCCTGCAGAAAAACATTGGGCAACTTCTACTAATAAAATTATAACTAAACTATGCTCAACACATAGCTTTGAACCACAGCTCAGAAGGAGACATTTCTGGTATGGAGTCCAATAGCATTTTCTGTATCCTACATTTAGACAAAGGTCTTATTGACTTGGTTAAATGCTGCATGAAGGCAGACAACATCAGGGGACCTGGGAAAAGGAACAGATGTCTGTGCGGCTAGGACAAACAAATCCCAGATCCACTCAGCAAGATTTCATCTGCAGAGGTTGTTGTCTAAAGGTGACACAACTGAAACTACTTTATCTTTGGACATGAAATGCAGCAGCATTGATATGATCCTGATATTGCCTCTAATGGAACAAGGCTTGTAGTTCAAACCATTTCGGGCAGGTGGACTGAAAGCAAGATGACTCCTCTACATTTTATGAGTGGTGGCACCAAAGCCTCTGTTTTGCAAAACAAACACAAAACCCTCTAAATGAAATACATCTTTGCTTGTATTTTCCTTAGTCTTATCATAATACCTCAGTAATACTTTGCATCTGGAAAGTGAATTATTTACAGATTATTCACCAAAAAAATGTAGAACTGAAACAAGATTAAAGCATATTTTTCTTCCCCAAATGTTTATAGAAGGATTAAGCAAGATCATAGTTTAATAATTTTGCTTTAAAAATAATTTGCTTGGCCCAGTATATTACAGCAATGTTTAGTGTCGGTATTGCAGCAAAGGTACCATATACTTAAAGGAGCTATTTTCTTTTCAATAGAGAGTCAGTTTTGAATAGAATAAAGGACATGAAATTAGTTAAGATGCAGTGAAGGGACAAAGGTACCCATTTAGGAAAGGCATAGCAGAGATGAACTTCGCTCTAAATCTAAAACAAGTGAGCTGGGACCGAGGGTTTCCCCCCAAATGAGACTGTGTTCTCAGCCCTCATGTTTCTAGAGGTGAAATCTGTTAAGGTCACAGCCCAGACTAAAATTCAGCAAACTCTGAACAGAGAACTTATTAGGATTGAAATCATTTGTACAACTGTAATGGGTTTGATACAGAGACATAAGGTGGCACAAAACTCTACAATTTCATGGGCTGCTTTCAATATTTCTGGTTGATGCGACCACGCCCTGGCCAGTGAGTAAGAGGATGAGAAAGAAAACATAAAACTAAGAGGGGAAAGAGGCACAAATATATGTGCACAGAACAGCAGTAAAGACAACTGTGAAACATCTAGATGGCAAATAGATGGAAAATATCAGGGGAACATTTCGGTCTCCTCCTTCAAATTCTGATTGGGGAGGGGGAGTGCAAAATGGCCAGAAACACCCAAACAAGGGTTTTGGAGACTTGTAGGAGCTCTGAGCATACTCAAGGGAGCACCAGGTAGTGATATTGTTTTCTTTGGAAGAAAAGTGAAGTGAGAGAAAGAGAAGAGTGACAGATAAGCATGTCCAGCTTTGCTGTTGTACCCTGTTAGCTCTGCAGGGAGGTTTTTCTTTGCTGAGCTGCTCCAAACTGCACTCCTGAAACCCCAGGGTGCCATATAGGTGACTCAACAGCATCAACTCTAAATGGGGAAGCGCAATGCCCAGCAACTGGTGGACTTCAGAGGACACTTTGATAAAAGGGAGGACTGCAGAGGCAGTGGCAAAAGGGATCTTTAAAGTGTTTTTAAGGAAGACAAACTAATAGCAACTAACTTCCCCTACAGAAGTCTCTTTCCAAGGAACAGATCTGTTATTTTAATAACAACGGTGAATGTAGTTACGTGTTAAGGATGAAATCTTGGCTTTGGTGACTTCACGGGACTAGTACTTCATGCAAAGGTATTGCTTCAGATCTTCTGTGTATACGTTTTCTTTTTAAGATGTCAACATTTTTAGAAACAGATTCACAGCTCTCTTATGTGACAGTATGACAGGCTGGTAAATTGAGCCATGGGGAAACTAGGAGCCAGACCCTACCACTTTGAGCTCCCCTTGGAGAATTATTACTTCACTTCAGAAGGAGGCACTACTGGAGTTCAGTTATCCAGTTTACAGAAAAACAGGTAGTAAAATCAGAACCTTTGTGACATTCATAGCCAACAATTTAATAGCAGACCCTGAAATATCACTTGCTGGGATTTTTCATTGTACAGTGCCAACCCATTGAATTGGGAAGGTATTGGTTCTGAGAAAATTTTCCTTAAGCCTGAGATGGAATTTCCATTTAAATGTTTCCAAGTAAGAAAGAGAGAAAGGGATTTCTTAGCCGTTAGATACTCCACTGCTCTCTCTATAGAACTGTGGCTACTTTCGCATACAAAGAACAGCTTCAATGGGGAAGAGTAAAAGATAAGAACGTCAGAATTTAGAACAAAAATACCCAGGTTATGATTGATTTGGTTCAAATTCTTGTTCCAAATGAAACAGAGCATAGATGTAAATCCAGACTTCAAACTGTTGAACTGAATATCTTAACCACAAGCTTTTGGGACAGTAAAAAAAACCAAACCCCAAACAACAACAAAAAAACCCAACACAGAAATTCTCAAAAATTTTCTTTGCGAAATGGAATTGTCATTAATGGCTATCCATAATCATGACAGTCAGAACAGAAGAATATGATCTGGCAGACCACCATGCTATTCTATATTAGGACTGACTGCACAACTTGGAGCTGGGGCTGCAGAGACCTCACACTGTGATCCATTGTACATTAGGACATATATCTCATTTGGACTTTGTCCTCGTTCTAAATCTGGCTAATTATTTCACACTGGAAACTCATTTTGATGATTAATGACTGACTATAGCCTAACACTTCTCTCTTTTTTTTTTTTCTTTCGTTTAAAAATAGTCCTTACTCTCCTAATGTAACAATTTCAACTAATCTCAAAGCCTTTTGAGTCACAGCTTCTATTCTTAGTTGGCTTAATGTAGTTTTTGGTTCTTTTTTAAAACTCCACGCACAGATAGAAGCCAATGTAAATTAATTCAAAATTCAAATGACATCCTATACAATAGTAAAATACCAAACTTTCAACTGCTATCGAATCATTTAAATTTAAAATAACAAGATAAACATAACTCTAGCTAGAGTTCAGCCAGAGTTACCAGCAAATCACTCAGGATGAAGAAGCAGGTTGAAGAAGAATCAGTTTGTCATTAGTGAACATACCAAAGGGATATTTATTTATCAGTCTGTTTAGTTGTATTGACCAATCATGATAGATATTTTAGTTCTCATAAAGCACAGATAACTATTAACAGAGTACTTTCCTACTATATATGGTCTAGAACAAGAAACTAATGTGTGGCCATGAGTTTACTTTTCTTTTGGTGCTTTAAAATTTTTTACTGATAACTAGGCAAGAGAACCACACAAATGGAAATTTAAACCTACTGAAGAACCTGACACCACATCTTAAATAGTATGTGGGAGGAATTTAATTTATATTTTCACTCCAAAATTCATTCTATCTTCATTCACACAAACAGTTTTAGCCAATTTTCTTCATACTTCTTTTTATATAATTTTATATACTCAACCTACTGTCCATTGTATGATACAAACACCCCCTTTTTCACAAGGGATTCTGTTTTGGCATTCTGTTTTTTTGGTTGTTTTTTTTTAATGAATGATAAGTTTGGAACAAATATAGTCAGGCAGCCATATTTCTCAAGCCCCAGCCTGAAAAACCCTGACCCTCAAATGATCTTCAGTCTCCCCCGGTTTTGACTAGAGATGTTGGCCAAAGTTCCCATTACCCTATGTGATATGAAGCCAGGCTACACAGCCCAGTAAGCTAGGCCTAGCAAAAACCTAAGCAGGTAGCATCAGAGGTTTAAGTTCCCAGTCCCAACACGTTGGGGACAGTAGCATCACTAGTCATAGATGGTCTGCAGGGCAACTCCTTTCTTCTTCAATGCCTGCACAAACCTTTCAGTTCAGCTAGAGCATTGCAACTCAGCCTCTTCAGGAGGTGAAATAGAGAGATCTGTTCGTTTTGTTTGAGCTACAATGATTGTCTGTGAAATTTAGAAGAAATAGTGTACTCAAACTCATGTTGGTCACTAAACTTAGCAGATATTGGTGATCTGTGACAGATTTGTGAGATAAGAAAACCATTAATCCTTTAAATGTAGAGTTTTATGAGCATAACTGTTCATTCTAACAATTCTGTGAAAAGGTTTGTGTTAGAGATGGGATCATGGTTTTGAGTTCCTAGCCTCATATTCAAGACCCTGTTCAATATCCCGTTGGCAAGGGTAGGCTTATCACTAGGAAAACAAAACAAAACGCCTATGCACTGTCACTTGGCTTTGGTGAGAATATGTCATTTACATGCTGATTGGATTCAACAGCATAGGTGCAACCCAGACTCATAGAGTTGCTGATAAAGCTCCCACTGATTTGAGTCGAGATAGGATTTCATAACAACCATGTCCCTGGAGAAGAGGGTATGATTTATATATAAAATGCCATTGCCTGCATGATCTTGTGGCCCCGTTCTGTGTTTATTTTCAATAAATGAATTTAAAATTAATTTTTGCAAGAAGTATTGGAAATACTAAACGTGGTTGTTTGCACACATCTACATGCTCTTCATATCAATACCAGCAGATTTGCAGAGTGGGATCAAATACCCTAAGCTGTTAACAGGCACCATCTCATCAATGTCATGGGAGAGGAGCAGCCTACCAATTCTGCTCTTTGCCTTGACTGAAATGTTCATTTTCATGATAAGCAAATACAATTTAAAAAAAAATTATATATAAACACACATCTTAGAAAAGGAAACGGTACGTGATTGCGGGGAGAAAAAAAAATAATCAAAGGATAGCTGGATATTTATAGAAATTTAATAAGCCAATGTAGGGCCTGGTGTGACCTCTGCAGTTCTAGGGATGCATTTGGCTCATTGTGTCTCCTCACATTACAAACTCCTGCCAAATAAATGGGGGAAAGGATGAGCAAAACAGATAAACATTTTTCTTTCTTTCTTCTTTTCAGGAAAATCAGGACATATGGAAAAAGCTTAACTCCTAACAGGATTAAACTGCCAAGTTTATCCACCTTTGTACCAAAAAAGCCCTATACATGTGACTTGCAGAAGTATCCTGGAGTTTGCTGTGTCTTTTCCACTTGGATTACTCCTGATACACGCAATGTTCTACTTTGTGTTATAGCTGTGCCAATTGAAGAAAATAAAACTGAAGTAGCAGATAATAAATTCAAGAACCTGAAAGCTCACATTAATGGGAAAAAAAAAAAAAAAATCATAGATCTTCATGCAGGAAGAAAGCACTTTTATCATCTTGTCAGAACTCCTAAATAACACAGATTACAAAATTTTGTCAGGGAATTACTGTATTAAAAACCTAGTAATAGGCATATTGACACTTGAGGGCATCTTTGGGGCAAGAAGTTCATGCATTTGTTCAGTATGCCTACTCCTGAGCTGAATGAATGGATGAATTCCCTTAAAAAGGTGATGTGCCCACCCAAAGACCCCAGAGCACCAAGGAAGGTCTCTCTAGACATATGGACTTTGTGCTTATCTTCTAGATTACATTTCGTGGGAACAGTCTGTCCCAGTGCAGCACATGCAGTTCCAAAAATTCCTTTGTTCTTTTTTGAGTCTTTTAGCTGAATTTTGGTTAACTTAAAGATGATTTCTGTTTTTTCTGAGCTTGGTCCTTTGCCTTTGCATATTTATGGCTGATTTCCAAGATCTGAAAAATCTAGTAAATGATAAAGGCCCCTAAACCATTCCGTGGGAAGAAAAAACAAATTGTCTAGATCTCAAGCCTTTAGCAACACAGAAACTGCCTAAAGACTTGAGAATGGCATGATGTGGTTGAATCAGAGAGCGTTTTCATAGCTGCAGCTGGCATAACGCAATAGATAAGGCCAGAGGGATGAAAGGCAATTCCAACAAGAACAAAACAATTTTTAGGAGTTGAGAGGGAGTAGAGCTTTATATAGAAAAATTACAAGCTGTTGTTGCAGCAAGCGTATGCAGCTACCTAAGGCGATTGTGGTGCCTGCCCAGCTATGGAGGCAAAGCGCATCTTATGGTTCCTGTCACCACCTCTCCAGTGCCTTACCTGCCCTATGTGTTTAGATGAGTTTCTTTGAAGCCTAGAGACATAACTTTCTGTCTGCCTCCACAGCACCCAGTTCATGCTGTGGCCCCCAACCTATGGGGTGTTTGTACTCATGGACTAACAGCTACAGTCAGGAGGAGAGCCTCAAGTGCACAACAAGTGGTGGACAGATTAAAGGACAGGGATATGATTATTACGAAACAAAAAGAGTAGAAAACTCTCCTTTAATTAAAGGGATGTTAAGAACAGACAGAATTAGCACAGCACATATAATAAATAGAAAACGAAAATGCTTCACATAGCTGAATGGGTTTATACACAAACATTTTTTTTTTTTGTATCAGTCAGGAGTTCTCGCCTCCAGTTACAGGAATCATAAAAAATGTCACCGAAATCCAGCCAACTATGTGAGCGTTGGCACAGAGCAGTCTTTTAACAGCTCACACCAACATACACAAGAGTGCATAGTCAGGAGGTAAAGACAACCCCAACTAAAATGACTTAAAACTGACAGCAGCTCATTAATCTTGAATGCACAACAGTTAACAAAAGCTTTTGTGACAATTATTATGGTGATTTTAATAAGATAGAGCCTTATTAAGGTTTAGACCCCTTCAATGACAATAATGATGATTTGCCATCCTGCTGCAGCTGATGATCTGGCCTCCTCAGTGAGCAGAGCATTGATTTTTCTCCACCCTCTTTAAGACAGCACATTTGGCACCACAGTGTGACTTGGAAACTATACTGGTGTGGCAAGCAGTGCTACTTCATATAATATTAAAAAATTACCCAGAAATCTCTCTAAGGGTTAACGAGGCAAGTCTTTGTACAGTTAATAATATTATCCTTGTCAAAATATACTTCTCCTATCACATATTTCTTTACTGTAACTAAAGCTATACTCCAGCCCTCCCCACTAATCCTAGGCAATGCTGAGCAGTCACATTCCTCCTGCATTGTTTAGAATAAATGTTTACTCCAAGGCCTAAATGTTCTCAAAAAGAGAGTGAGAAAATGGCATCTGAGTTATGTATATGTTTTTACCACAGATCATTAATGCGGGAGCTGGCTATTAATCCCGCTCACTCCTTATTCAAATAGGAACTGAAGACTAAAGCAGACACGGTGTTACGCCAACCTGGGGAGAAAGCTACCACGTGGAAGGAGATATTTTTGCTCTCTGCAAGATCCATTCATCTATATGAAAATTGTCGGTTCATGGTTTTATGTGATTTTCCACATATGTCATAGACATCAGTTTAGCGTAGCCTTTTTAATCCTACCCCTATATCTATGCATGCTTGAATGTGTGTATGGGTGTACATTTTAGAAACATCCAGTTGTGAGACAAACTTTTGTTAATTGACTTGTAGTGGTAAAAATTCCTCCCTGCTTAATAACTTTCTGACTGCTTTGCATCTTTGCAGTTGGGTCTGTCTTTACTGGCTGACTTCTCCCTCCCTCTTGTTTATCTTGCTGTGAGTTATTAAGGATTTGCTCCATGTGAAATGAGAGGAAATACCAGTACTTTTTCATCTCTGCTTTTTAACTCTCTGTTCTGTTACACATTTTGGGAGACAACATAAAGTAGGAGAGAGGTGGCAGAGCAGAAATTGGAGAATGTGTTGCTATACTGTACCTTATCTTAATTAGCGAATGGCCATTTCCCCAGCCAGAATATTTTGTCTGACACTAAGTAGTCTTCCATTGTGGTAGTTATCTGAACACAACTTTATTTTAATGTACTCTTTCCAATACCCCTATGAGGTAGCTATTAGTAGTTATTATAGATAATATATAATTATATTATCATCACCATCATCATGATATAGATAACAAATACAAAGAGGGAAAGGTCCGTATCCTGTGTAAACTGAGATCTTAGGAAGAATTTAGACACCAAAGACCAAAAAATCATTTTTTTATCTCTTATGTTACCCTATGGACATAATACTGTAGAAGTTTCCATTTTTACAAGCGAAGGTCTGTATCTCAGTAAACACAGATGTGATTCAATATCAAACGGGCTGAGAAATCATTCTTCTGTCAAATGCCTATGAGCGATCGGGAATATCTAATGAGATGTTCCTCCAGCTAGAACGCACTGAGGGGGATCTGATCCAGGATGTGTACTCACAGAATATCATGTACATGCCTATTATGTGCAAAACATACTGTTGGTTATTGCATTCATTAAGAAATGGCTGTAACAGGGTTCTTCTATTCAGGAATTTAATAGCTAGAGTGTTTGCAGGGTCCCAGATTCAATTCTAACTTCTGCTGAGCAAGTTCAAACCCACACAGCCTACCTTCCAGCCTAAGCTGTAGGTTACTTGGCAAGAGTATCTGACTCTGCTTTTCCTCCTACTAAGAAAAGTCACAATTTTCAAAGACGAACTTGAGAACTGGCAGGACTCATTACTCCAGTGGTTAGGGAAGTCCCTTGGGAGTTGGTGACATGGTTGCCAGATCTTTCCCCAAGATTAGTTTATATATTCTACTTGAAGGCTGTTCCATGTACATCATTGGTTTTAATCCGGTAGGGCAAATTGCCAATAATATTCCCAAACACTGTGTTTTGTTGGTTTCAGGTTACTGATGGTTTTTCACAGTTTTTAGCAGTGAAGGCCACTCTCCCATGAGAAGCTCCTACCCTCAACAGCATCGCTTCATTGGCATGCAGTGAGACTGCTGGACAGCCTGCAATGCACGTATACTATATGGAGAGGGGAATGCTGTAGGGAGGGTGAGGGAGAGAGGTCACATGGCAAAACTGGCATGGAGAATAAGGAAGGATTCATATAGGAATGAATGACAATAGTGTTTAAACAAAAAACTCGCAGTATATCCAGCAAAGGACCTAGTATGGGGTCCCTTGGGAAAAAGAGATATCATTTCATAGTCACGTTGTGGTGTCAAATTAGATCCTTCAGTACATAGACAACTCGAATTCTGCAATTTCTGTTTAAGTGCTTGCCTTTGCGGTCTAAACAACATTTATTTTAATGGTACTTAAGCATAAATAAAGACTAAAAGAGTAAGAATGTAAAAGCAGCATACCAATTTGGGCCCATTTCACCTTCCAATGGCTTAGCCTAAGGCATCTGAGCCTCTGCCTCACGTTCCCACAAGTTTCAGACAGCATACTGGCTTTGTTTGTTCTTTTAAAGAGGGTTATGAAAAAGAGAAATAATACGTTTTGCACTAAAATTTAAAGTAATAAGCTTAGAAGACCACTGACAACATAAATATTATTAAAAAGTGTAAATGCTATGTAAACTATTACTGCACTGAAGAGTGTGAGGAGAGCTAAATAACACGAGCACAAGAGACATCTTAAATAGGGCTAGATAGAAGAGGAAATTCTCATCAATTCAAAATCACTGCCTCAAAGCCAGTGACTCTAAGTTGTACAAGTACTATTTCATTTACTTTCAAATAAGATCTTATCGTAGATGACTGGGTCACTATCATTCTCCAAAGCAAGAGAAAACTTGCTAGCTAATTTGAGAACACATCCTTTCTTTCTGTGTGGCTGGATTTTTGGCATACCGTGGCTCGGCCCTATTTGGAGCCTTGTAAAAGTCACTTATCTGAGCCTATCGGTAGCCAAACGGAGCACTGTGAACATTCCCACTGGAGCTGCCAGCGAAATAACAGCTCCCCGAGGATTAACTTCTTCTCGGCTAAAAAGAAAGCGAGCCTGTGTTGCTGCAGCATAATGGCCTTCATCTGTAACCTAGATCTTGGCTGGTTTCTTTCACATGCTTTTTCACTACGCTATCAGGAAAGGAAAAAAACCCACGTAGTTCACAGGGAACTTCACAGCATCGGATGGTGCCAGTAGGAACCCCCTGTCCCTCCCCTGAACCCTTTCGGAGAAAGTCTGAGAAAAGGAAAGGGTCTCAGAAATCTTCCTTGGAGAGAGGTACGGGGCAGTACAGGGAGCAGGGGCAAGCGCTGCTCCCTCACAAGGAAAGAGCTGGAAGATAAGCACCCCTGTGTGCTTTGCGTGGATCTAGGGGACAGGAGGGGCTACCGTCACTGCAGATCATTCAGAGAGCAAGGGACCAGGCGCTACCGCGGTGTGTCACATAGCAGCCCAAAGCGCTGACCACTGCCTGTAAACCTCAGTGTCTCATCCTGACTTCTGGGAGGGGCTGGGTCTAAAATAAAACCAGGGAAGTTCACCTTGATAGCCTCTGACTACCAGCTTGTTCTATGCCCAAGGGAACAAGGCATTTGCATCTCCCACAGGCATTTAGACCTTTCTG